ACACAAGCATGTTCATACATGTACTGATTTACCACACACACAACTTCTCTCCCATGAGACTCACATGTGCAATAGCAGCAAAGTAGTAGATCTTCATCTGGACCAGTTTCTTCCAGTCCTTCTGGATCTTTCCCAGCATGGAGGCTGTCTCCGAGTTCTCCAGAGCCCTGCAGGCCTCTTTATAGTAATCCACCACCTGCAGCATCACAGCCACTTATTACCCTCTAATATTTTATTTACTGGCTGATATGATTTTACTAAATGTATTTAATATTTAATGCCACTGACCTGAGCACTGATGCGGGCAACCAAGAAACTCTTCCTGTTGTCCAGCATGGATTTCTCCAGAAGACACTCCTGAGCCTGGCCCTGGGAGAGACACACAGCATGGTGAGACATGTCTGTAGCAGTGTGTGTTTGTATATGTGCCTATTTACATGTGTCACCTACCAACATAAGGTTGATATTGAGGTTAAGGATCTGGTGGCTCATGTCTACGCTAAAGTTGTGGCTGAAATGGTCTCTCAGGTAGGAGAAAGCTCCCGCCGAGCACTGGAAGTGTGTGCACGACACCTTCATCCCCTAGAGGCAGAGCACAGAGTCAGAAGGAATGTGTGGGCATGAACATTTGTTTTGTGAGCATGTGTGTGTCTCTCACCTCCTCGGACACCCGGTTGTCCATGGCTCCCAACATGGAGTGCAGGGCCCCTATGGAGAGTCCACAGTGAGGTTCAATGACCTCAGCAGACTTTGTTCTTCACATTCAGCAGATACTGGCCAGTTTGCTACACACTGACTATCATTTTTAATTGTCCACAGTTTTCCTCAAAGTAAGTAAGCTTATATAATCGTTAAAGGACAGGCTCACTCTTTTCAAAACGCATCTTAAAACCCACTGGCATGCTCACTGTGCACTTTAAAAGGATTACTGGTCATTTTAATTGATCATTTCAGTTGTCATGCAGTTGTGCATCATGTGAGCCTGACTGGATTGTTGAACATGAATCAAATGTTACTGATGAACAGTTACTCTTAAAAAATGAGACCAGCTATGATATAAAGAAAAATCTACAAAAATATTGTTCATAAAAATCTTAGAAAAAAACTCACCAGCTATTTAGGGCTAAATGTTCCTGTTGCCTGCAAAATAACTGTGCTCGTAATTTTAAAATGAATTTTGAAGCTAAACTCTTCATGAGAAGAAAACTGAGGACATTTCTGATCCATGTCAGTTAGCTAGGCGACGTCTGAGCCTGGACTGTCCCTCTTTATCATTCAGTTCTTTACATGCAAAGGGTCATTTCTTCAAAGTAGTTAGTTTAACTGCTTTAATGAGCGCCACTAACTGGTCTAGTTTAAAATAAACTTCTCTATGTGTCTTAACTCACCAAGATTGTAGAGGATGCAGGCTTGCTCATAGCTGATGTCATCATGGGTGACTGTTTTTCCAGAGAAAATTTCAGTCCTGCACACAAAGATTGAAAAAAAAAAATACAATGGAGTTTAGCGTGTATTTAGTATGATTTTCTTAAGATGTATCCTTCATAAATTAAAAAAAAAAAAAAAAAAGACAAGGGTTGGGGTTAACCCAAATACATAAGACATATGAGTTATGAGCTACAGTGCCTTGCGAAAGTATTCGGCCCCCTTGAACTTTGCGACCTTTTGCCACATTTCAGGCTTCAAACATAAAGATATAAAACTGTAATTTTTTGTGAAGAATCAACAAGTGGGACACAATCATGAAGTGGAACGAAATTTATTGGATATTTCAAACTTTTTTAACAAATAAAAAACTGAAAAATTGGGCGTGCAAAATTATTCAAATCCACATAAGGGATGACGGCAACATTCATAGATCCTGGAATGCACAATGAGGGGCAATGTTCATTCCTATTACAGAGGCCCACTGAAATTTTTTTGAGGAAAAGCTGTGTTAGACTGCATATTGTTTATAGTAAAGTATTTTTATATACAAATATAAAAATGAAAATGTTTCTGGAGTGGGACTTTAATTAATTATAGAAGTTGTGCAGAAGCTGCCCATAGCTCTACACAGTGATCCATGTGTGTACTGTATGTGTTTCTATGCTGCTCCAAATGAGTCTGTTCTGGTTCAACTTGTCTTATTAAATGAGCTTAAAAATAAAGTGACACCTTAGTTATAAAACACTGAGCAGGCTGTAACACACAAGAGTGTGT